TAAGGGTATATTGGAATCAGCCATAAAAATTACGAATGAGCCACCATCAGGAATTCAAGCGAATATTCACAAAGCGTTGGATAACTTCACTCAAGAAACTCTGGAGTCTTGTAGCAAGGAAACTGAATTCAAAGCTATATTATTTGCGCTTTGTTATTATCATGCCGTAGTTGCAGAACGTAGAAAATTTGGAGCACAAGGATGGAATGGAGTAAATGACCTCAACATTAATTTACTCGATCAATTATAAAGATTAAAGATTTGTTATGTAGTAGTTCTATGATATTTTGAAATTTATAAATTACATTTTTTTACTATTTGTCTTTTAATAGATTATTCTAAATGATTTATCATTATTAAAAATATATTTTTAATATAATTATATATTTTTATATAAATAAAAAAATATATAATTATAGATATAATTATATAAAATAATAAATTATTTTAAATAATTATTTTATTTTGACTCAGTCTTATCCATTCAACTTTGGGGATTTAACGATCAGCGTATCCGTTCTATTTAATTATTTGGAAAATAGTATTAAAGTACCTTGGGAAGATCTTCGTTATTTATTTGGAGAAATAATGTATGGCGGTCATATAACAGATGACTGGGACAGAAGACTATGTAAAACATATTTAACAGAATATTTAAAACCAGAATTAATTGAAGGTAATTAAATTATAAATATAATTATATAAAAATGAAGAATTATATTTTTAATCAATTTAATCTATTATAAAATTTTATCTTTAATTCTATTTACAATTTATAAATTTGAATTCTGTCAATAATATTTAAAAATAATGTTCCTTTGTTCATATTTTTTTTGTATTATTTTGTTTTGAAATGTTTTATATTAATTTATTATATCATAATATTCAATTATTAAGTCAAATATATGTTTTTTTCTCTTTTTATAGGCGAATTATATCTTGCACCAGATTTCTTAGTGCCACCAAATCTTGATTATCAAGGATATCATGAATATGTTTATAATTTTCTACCATCTGAGAGTCCTGTTCTTTATGGACTTCATCCTAATGCGGAAATTGGTAAATATACATATATGATATTTTATTGAATTAAAAAATAAAGGATAGGATCAATAAAAATGATTTAAATAATTTTATTTAAATTAAATTCCTTTTGCATTTATGAGTATGAAAGTAAATAAAATCTTTCTTACTATATTTTTTATACATTTAATATTAATTTTTTTATAATATTGATTTTTTTAATCATTTTTTCATTATATGTACATACAATATTTTTTACAATATTTTATACAATATTTTTATTAGGATTTTTAACGTCAACTGCGGAAAATTTATTTAAAACATTATTGGGTATGTTAACGAGAGTCGTCGCTGATGCAGCAGTCGGAGAAATTACAAAAGAAGAGAAAATGAAAGGACTTATAGAAGATTTATTAGATAAACTACCAGAAGAATTTAATATGCTAGAACTTTACGGCAAGGTATCATTATTTCTATTTAGCTGAAATTGTTTTATATTATATTGTATTATATTATAAAAATAATTAAATAAGAAATTATCATTTTTAATGAAATGAAATTTTTTTTTATATTTTAGGTAGAAGATCGTACACCGTTTATTACTGTTGCTTTACAAGAATGCGAACGAATGAATGTATTATGTGAAGAACTTAAAAGATCTTTGCATGAGTTAGATTTAGGTTTGAAGGTAATAAAAAATTTATCATTATAAAGATTATAAAATTATAAGATATTATAAGATTGAAATATAATAATGTTTTATTAAAAGGGAGAATTAACGATCAATCCTGAAATGGAAATTTTACAAGATTATATAGTTATGGATGCTGTTCCCCCATCTTGGGAGAAAAGAGCTTATCCTTCAGAATTAGGATTAAACAGTTGGTTTGCAGATTTATTAAATCGAATAAGTGAATTAACTAGTTGGACTGCCGATTTTAATGTAAAATTTTCTATTATATGCAATAGCCCATTATTATTGAATCATTTCTAATTTATAAGATTGGTATTAATGGGATATTAATATATTATTTAAATATATATATATTTTCGTAGTTGCCATCATCAATATGGCTAGGAGGATTTTTCAATCCTCAATCATTTCTTACTGCAATTATGCAACAAACTGCACGCAAAAATGAATGGCCATTAGACAAAATGTGCTTATATTGTGAAGTAATGAGAAAATTCAAAGAAGAAATTACGTAATTATATTATTATTTATTATCAAAATCAATTAATATTTAATAATATTTAAATAATATTTATCGTATTAATTATTAAAAATATTTTTTTTTCTTTCAACATATACATATATATTTGTATTAGATTCGTACAAATAAGAATATTATAAACAATTCTTTAAATCAATCTTAATTTTTTATTATTAATAAAATTTTAATATATTTTCTGTAAATATTATTTAAAATAAACAATAATGTTATAATTTTTTAGATCAGCACCAAGAGAAGGTGCATATATAAATGGACTATATATGGAAGGTGCACGATGGGATATGCAAGCAGGATGTATTATGGATTCTCGATTTAAAGAATTATTTCCATTATTACCAATAGTGTATATTAGAGCTATTACACAAGATAAACAAGATTTAAAAAATATGTATGAGTGTCCCGTATACAAAACACGATTACGAGGTCCAACTTATGTGTGGACGTTTAATTTAAGAACTAAAGAAAAGCCTAGTAAATGGATTCTTGGTGGTGTGGCAATTTTATTACAAGTTTAATTATATTTATTAAACTGAAATAATATGAAATAATATGAAATAAATATACAATTATAATAAAAAATTGAATGTTTTTTGAATTAAAAAGCAAGACTATATTAGTTTTATTAGGTTTACACATATATTTTCTAAAATTTATATAATTTTATTTATTTCAAAAGAGAAACATATTCTACGCACGATTAATATTTATTGCATCCATTTTAATTTTTTTTACAATAATAATTTATATTTGTATTTTGCATTGAAAAAATTGTACAATTATAAATGTGAAAATATTTTTTTTTAATTATTAATGAAAAAATGATCATAATTACAAGAAAATTATTTATTTGAAACATAAGAAATATTTTGTACAGATTAGAAATTTTCGTCAATCATCTTTATCTTCTCTTGAATCCATACTTTTTCCTCTCATAAAATAGATCAGTCTTTGAACTTCCGAGATTTACGATTTTTGGACAGCCATCTCTCTATAAAAAATCAAATTTAGTAAATTTTTATTATATTTGTTATTATTACTTAAGTTTATTATTAATATGCATGAAAAAAAATTAATAATTTGATGTAATAAAAATTAAAAAAAAAAACAATTCTTTTTATAAATATTGCTACAACTAGTAGTAGTATAATTAGTAATACAAGTTACATTACATCTTTTTCTTGAATTGTGCATTCCTTGCAATAATAAGCATCAGAAACACCAGGTCCACCACAAATAACACATCGACCCTGATAAGATCCGTAATTGCATTCATCACAAATTCTAACCAGAGTACATGGTCTTACATAGGAATCACAAATTACACATTTACCATCGCATTTTTCACATAATCTTCCTATTGCTAAAAATAAAATAAGCAATTTTTATTATCAATTAGATTACACATTTCCTTATATATATAAATGTAATATCAAAAATTTGTCACTTTATTTATCATTATTTAATGATGCAACCTAAAATATAATATAAAATTCAACAAAAAATAAAATAAAATTTATAAACATCAAGAAGTTTTTTAATTTTATCTTTAATCTTTTTTTTTATAAAAATTAAATATTAATTAAAAAAATTAATTATTTAGAATATAAACAATTTTTTGAAAAAGAAAAATACTTCTTAACTTACAAAGTCTCTTTTTATTTTTTAAAATAATCAAAACAATATACTAATTTTTTTTATTTAAATGATCATTATTAAATTTAATAATATTTATTCGGAACATTTTTCCATAGTTAGAGTTATAGTAAAGAACATAAAGGAAACTTCTAGGAGGTGTTAAAAAATATCAAAAGGATACGTTTCTTATTTCAAAAAATTTTTTTTATTAAATATTAAATATTGCTCCTGTCTCTCTCTCTCTCTCTCTCTCTCT